ATGAACGTAACACAATCTGTTTTGTAATTCTTGTAAAAAAATTTCTTACATAATAATCCCTGGGGAAATTATTTAAGACAAGTGAAATAGGGGAAATAATCATTCTCTTAATATAAATATGTATATATCTACGCATTTAATTATAAATATCAAAACAAATAAATAATTACTTTAGAATATAATGAAATTGTTTAACACTATTCGTGTCTACAAAATGTTTTTGTCTATAATCAGAATTTAATATACCGTCCTCATAAATGCTAAAGTATTACAGCATAATGAAAGTTTTTAAAATCAGAGTTGGTATAAAACCACGCTTTTCAATAAAATAGTAAAACATTCGTAATAACAGCCTACATATAACTAAAGATCGGTCTTTAGCTCAGATCACATACTTTTAATTAACTACTGCTTCTTTGTGTTCTTTAAAGATCATTTTTTTAACAAAGTATTGAGCACACACATTTTACTGTTAATTGCAAAAACAATATTCACAGAGTTTTACGTTTAAAAAGCTAATTTTCTGGCGGCATGGGACTTTGGTACATCATTACGCGTTTTTCTACATGTACTTAACAGATCAGTTCGGGGTGGGTTGGGGGGGGGGGGGGGGCTGGGTTCAACTTCATTCACCACTGTCCGGTCACTTTAGGTCAATTATCTAACCCAATGTATACCTAGGTGTGACATTAATGTCGCTCTACACAATTGTGGTGGTGAGGTGTGTGGGTGGGGAGATAACCAACTCAGAGTGAACATAGCGTCAGTTTTTAGATGACTGTTCTAAACATACATATATATTAAACAAATATATATATTACACAAATATATATTACAGAAATAGATTTAAATAAGTAGCAGTGGTATTATGACAATATTTTTTTTTACAGAGGGGTCCATGGGGGAGGGGGTTGTAACTGTTTCATATAATTTGTAATCGTAATCACTATCGCCCAAACTGTAAGAATACTACTACTTCATCGTGATGACGTTTTTGACCTTGTCAAAATTTCCCCACCACTACGCAGTTTGCTCATAAGTAAATTTTAATAGAGGAGCCTCATCAGTTGTATTTGTTTCTGTATTGTAATTCTTTTTTTAAATTAATCACACGACTCAAACTGTATATATAGAGTAATTATGTGTGAAGTTTTATGTATAACATTTTCTAATTCAATTATTCGTAAGCAAATACATTATACAGTTGCCTTAAACTTAACACCCCTCTTGCCAAGTGGTACTACCCGTAGAGGTTTTTTAAACATTGCAATGCATCGTAATGGCTATTTTTAGAATGGCAAACTGATGCAGCTGTTAATACGTGTTGTAAACGTAGACACTACTAGACTAGTACAATAATGCTTAATTGCTGCATGAAAAGAAATCTTGTGATTTACATAGATGTGCCGACCAAAAATATTTTTTTAATTAATATCATTGTTTAAAACTTTGGGTTTAAAAAGTTTCCAAAAAGGCGCCACTTTGCTGAAAATGGCCAGAGGGGGAGCGGCCGCTCCCCCTGCTCCTCCCCTGCGTACGCTACTGAGTAGGGCCTACGTCTTTTGAAGTAGGTTACAATGGTGAATGTTCAAAGTAAAGTATAATACTTTACCGGAACCTATTGTATTTAGTACGTAGATATTACATAAAATATGTTCATGTTGTTTTATATATATATATATATATATATATATATATATATATATATATATATATATATATATATATATATATATATATATATATTTGGGGTTGGTGTGGTTGAGATGTTTTTAAACAACATTTAATACACAGATTCTTTTTGAACAGTTCATAGATTATTTTAAAAAAATATTTTATTCATAGATTATTTTTTGAACAATATTTAATTCATGCATTCTTTTTTAAATGATCTTCGAAAATGTTTTTAAAAATATGTATTTCATGCTAAGAATAATCAGTTGTTAAAGCTAAGAGAAAGATCAAGTTCCCATCAGGTCAGAAAAAGATCAAATTCAAACATGTAAGAGAAAGATCAATATTTGAATATATGAGATAAAAATCAGAATTCATATAGGCTACGTTGTAAGTGAAAGATCAACACTCAAAAATGTATGAGAAAGATCAAGATTGAAACATGTATAGTAAAGATCAAATCCAACATCTATATATATAATTCTCTTCTTCGAGCCGTTAGAAAACAAGCTGCAAACGCTCTCCCTACCTCCCCACCCCTACATGGTTTTAGTGAGCTGTGTTCACTCTAAATGTTTACAAGCAGAGCCAACGATTTTAAACGTAGGGGGGGGGGAGGGGGGAGGGGGGAGGGGGGAGGGGGGGGGGAGGGAAGGAAGGGGGGGGGGGGGTTATGGTCCTTAACGAGCTACTTATAGTGTTTTAAAGAAATATTTTCAGTGTCAGCGTTGGTACTGTCGAATTCACAAATTATGAATTATTGAAAATTAGAAACAACTAAATAGCGGCGTATGTTATGCCGCGGGCCGGCTCGTGTAAGATAAAGATCAAATTCAAACAAGTAAGAGAAAGATCAAGATTCCAATATGTAAGAGAAACCATAACACGTTAACTAGGCTCTAGCCTCACACCCAGTGAGGGTATCAAACACTTCTTTTCCTGGAACTTTGTAGTCGACTGTAGGTCAGCCAGTGACGTCACTTCCTTGATGGGAATCACCAGGAGTTTGACCGTTGCAGAGCTGCAATTGCTGAGGCTAAGAGTTTGTTTATCGAGGGAGAACGCGCCAAATACGTCATTCTGTTGATACATAGGATTTAATACATCATTCTGTTGATACAAAGCTAGGAATTCATACGTTATTTTTAGCGCAATTTCCATTCTGGAGAATTGCGTTTATTAACTCGTCTTTTCTGGGAATGTATGGATGGATGTGTGTCCGCAGCTTTAAGTCGTATCTCCTCCTCAACGAAGCAATATCGAGGACTAGTTCCAAAGCAAATATGTTAAGCAAGTTACGAGGATGAAAATAGGCCAAAAAAATTCCGGGTTTCTTTCATGGATTTCCCGGAAAAGCCAAAAAACCTCGAAAAAATGCAGTTTTTGGCCTATATCTCGGCAACCAGACCACTTAGCGACTTGAAACATGTACCAATCGATTCCTACCATAATTTAGAACAATATTGCCGAAGAAAGTTTTCAAAAAAATCCTTTCGTTCGGTCACAAAATATTTTTTGAATTAATTAAAATTTGGACCGAATTAGTAGGCATTTTATCCAACCACACCACACGCGTCATCACGTTCAATAGCTGCGCCATCACGTTCAATGGCTGCGACATCACGTTCGGTAGCTAGGCGCGCAATGGTTTTTGGTCATGTTACTCTATTGTAAATAAAACATGTAAAATACTGAAAAAAAATTAATAAATAACGTTTTAATACCTAACCAATGGTTTTACTAACCCTGCTCTTGATTTATGCTACGACAGAGCTATTTTTAGATAACATAAGGAAATTGCGCTAAAATTGTCACTAGACTTTTTTTAATTACTTGTTTTATACAAAGTTAGGTTTTGATAAGTCATTCTTAATTAAAAAAACCGATTGATACAACATTATGGGTTGACTTCTTCTTTTCTTCTTCTTCGTTCTTAATTTTTAGTGTTGGGAGGGATCGAGCCTTATCTGCCAGAGGGTTTGAACTCGAGAATTTTTTCGAATTTATCAACCGTGAGCTTTGCCGACTCGACCATGCTTCCATCACAATTAAGGATTACGTGTCAACTGGTTATGCGCCATTGAGGCCATTGACTCCGATTTCAGCCTGCTTTTCTTTTTGGATTTTCCTTTGTCCAACCAAGAACAAACTACAAGGCAGCACTGAGTGGCTGTCCCCAGCTAACGAGCCTCATCTGCCCGAGGGTTCGAACTCGAGACTCTTCGGTTTAGCAACCATGAGCTTTACCGACTCGACCACGCCGACCCCTTATGGGTTGTCATTTCGTTCTGTTTCATGAGAAATGTCTAATCTGACACGTCATTATTTCATATACACAGAAATAATTATTTTTTAATATCAAGGATGAACATTATTGACAGAAACAGATGTATACTTTTTGTACGTATTGAAAAACCATTTTAATAACGTGCTGTTATAAGCACTAAACAAAATAAATTAAAAGAATAGATACCGATTATCAAATTCATCAACCAACTGGCAGGCTGGCTAGCAGGCAGAGGAAGACACAGACAAGCAGGCAACTTGCAGACTGACCTGACAAGACAGACAGACAAACAGACAAACAGATACGCAGGCAAGGAGGCTGACCAAACGACAACATATACAGCTTGTGCTAATACGATATCTGTAACACCAACTTCACTCTGGCTGCTGTGGTATAAAACGAATATCTCAAGACAAATGATTATGTCATATTTCTGACCTTTCTGCACGGACTGACCTTTTTGACCTGGATCTGAGTCTCCACAGGAACATTGAAGGTTCTGATCCATTTCGGCTCACACTTGACGCTGTTGTTGCCGACAAAGTTGTAGCCTGACCTGGAGACGTAGGTCAAGGTCTAATAATAGCACTAACAATATATCTTGCTGACGCATATATGGACATGCTACATCTCTTTGTCTAAAAGCTGTACATATACCCACATGCTGACCTAACTATGCACATACTAAATTACCCAGACCAAGCCAATGTTTTGCCTTCCTTTGTAGCAAATTGCTTGAATATACATAAAACACACATCATATCAAGTTAAAGATTGTTGGGTAATTGGCAGTAGGACGTTCATAAGTCTACTCTGCTCTGGTGAGTACTTGACTCATTTTAGTTTAAGTAAAATACGTTTCACATAGTGCCAATGACATCATCACTTCTTATGGCATGGTAATAAACAAATGAACTTTTCTTCAGCATCACAAACTAAAGTTTAAGCAGATTGACTTGTAAAAATAATATTCAAAAATATGTGTTAGTTGGTTTGAGATAAAATATTTGTTTAAGAAATTAATGTTCGAGTGAATACTTTATGCAACGATTGAATGAAAACGTAACCCTGATGGTCTGAAGACGATGAAGTCAATATTGCCAGCTTGTTGACAGTAGTAGTACCACTTCGTTATTTTACCGTTGTATGGGATTCTGTGGAGAAATGATGGTGGACGTGTAGGGTGGGTGGGGGTTGGTATAAGTAATTGAAGATGAGAAAATTGTACTTTCTAAATAAATGAGACAGATTAAGATAATTAATTAACGGTCAACAATTAGCACACCTGTAATTGACATCATCCAACAAAAAGGCCACTTCCTTTGGTAAGTCTTCCCGACGTTTTCTGATCTTTTCAAACTGTATGTCCACGGCAGTTGGTGTACCTGTATAGGGAATGTTATCTTTATTAGATTGCTCCCATGTTCAAATGTTTAAACGATTTAAATTTACGAGCCGACCCGCGGTGTATCATACGCCGCTATTTGGTTGTTTTTTTCTACTTTTCAGTAATTCATAATTTGTGAATTCGACAGTAACATTGCTGCCACTGAAAATATTTGCTTTAAAACACTAAACCCCCCTTCCCCCCCCCCCTCCCCGTGAAAGCAGCCTCCTCTTAGTTACCTCCTCTAAGTTTAAAATAGTTTCAAACTGAATTATCTGCCCCTAATAGCCGTCACCAAACTAAACATTTAGCGTGAACTACACCTGACCATGTGAGGGGAGGGTGGGGGTGGGGGGGGGGGGTGGTAGCGATAGAGAGGAATAGAGGGGACTGCAAGGCGCGCGCTTGCAGCTTGTTTTCTAACGGCTCCCAGAAGAGAATTATATATATAGATATATATTTATATATAATATAACAGATGCGTCTATTATATTGTTTAAACTTATACTTTGTGTACATATCAACAGCAATACTCTATATCACCGTGTGAAGTTCTACGCAGTGAGCCATATCAAATATGCCATACCCAATTTTCATAACGAACGTTCTATGAAATGAGCCTTATCAAATGCTATACTTAATTCTCTTTCATATTTTATTTATAGCTAAAGCATCAACTTGACTTCTTGTCTACATAGAACGTTCTATCGCAGTTCTCTGTGTCTTCAGTAATGTAACTTTCACAACTTCAGGTTTTTTAGTCAACATCATATTTTATCAAGTTGGAATCAAGTTTACTCACTCTGACAAACAGGTTCTGACCCCAGCAGCGCACCGGAAACGGAACACGCCCTCTGCAGGTCACCGCTGACGTGATAGGAATCATTCTGACACTTAAAGGTCATGACATGACCAGGGGAAATAACTTCTGCTTTGGACGTCCGGGAATATTTTTTTCCTACAGGATCTTTGCACTGGGTTTTTCCTGAAACAGGGTAAAATTGTCACTTTAGGATTACAGTTTGGGCGGGGTAGGACTTTACTGTCATCTGTCATACCTTCATGCCATTAAGTCCAGCTCAATAATCCTTAACTATTTACCATGTGTTAATGACCGGCCTTAATGTTAAATAGCTAAAGCAGAATTAATCAGATCATTTATATTTAGGGTTATAGCTTGTATTCTTTCTAGAAAAAAAAAAATCATTCCCTAGCTTTTATAGCTGCAACTTAAGTCGAAAGGAACAGTTTGTTTTTCAAAGAATTATGTCGTTTTAACTGAAATATTTAATCAATTCTAACACGACTAATATGGGACGGAGTGGTCTAGCTGTAGAGAGCTGGACTACTAACCCGTAGGTCTCGAGATCAAATCCGGGTTCAAGTCAGTATACCGTCACTGAGTCCACCCAACTCTGATGGGTACCTAACTCCCGTTAGGGAAAGTTAAGGCGGCTGGGCATAGTGCTGACCACACTATCTCTTCATATGCCGAGGTCACAGAAACAAGTGAACTCTACTTCACTAGCCCCATAGACCGCCAGGTTTGAAAGGGAAACTTTTTTACTTACACGACTAATAAAAGTTTAATGCTATACATAAAAAAATTGATGACTAAGATTGTTTTTATATGAGCTGTCAAATTCTACCTGGACATCCGCCACAAGTTTTCTTACAGTAGGTCAAGGCTGAATTAGAAGAACGTTTGGAAATGCAGAACTCTGGGAATTTGGCCAAAATATTTTGACAGCTTAGGATTTTATCTTCACACGAGGTGGCGACTGAAAGAAACACAAGTCAAAACATTTATTTTAGTTGGCGAATTTAATTTAGTATTAATTTATTTATATGTGCCAATATTTTTAGCCGCAGATTATCTCAAGTAAGCGATCAGACATGTTTATATGCAGATAAAAAGAGCGACAATTTAAATGAAATGAATTTTGTTAGTAGATTTCTTGATAAGTACATATAGAAGAGCTAATTTAAGTAGCATTTAAGCTTACAATACTTTAATGTATTGCCTTCTAGAAAATGACAAACTTAATTACAATAACATTTTCAAACCACCTCCTCTATGTGTTGTAATAAAATACAAAAATTAAAATTTTTCAACTAATAATTATGTTTTTATTGGTAAAAAAAATTAGTCCAACAACAATAATGAGCAATCATATTTGTATTATAAAAAAATCTCACGGCTACAGTTTCGTGCCTGACCCGACCATCCAGTTTTGGTACATCTGATGATGTTGACTAAAGAACCGGAAGTTGTACAAGTGACGTTGATGACCTCCCCTTCCTTGTACACACTCTTCAATCCTCCAGCGGCGTACACGTCAGATGGTAGGCTGGGTGGGCTGCAGGTCGCTAGGAATAATAAAAAAAAATCATTTTCTTTATCGTTAATTTTGTCTTCAGTATTTTTTTGTGTGAAATCTCATACACATCTTAAAACACGACCATAAAAATAAATAAATAAAATAACGACATTGTCTCAACAGCCCACTAATGTTGGGACCATCTAAAAAGAAACTCGACGAAAGTACTGTCGACTAAAATGTAGGCCTGGGATTATGAAAAGAATTGGTGAACCATAATGACGCTCTAAAAAATTGGTAATAATTAATTAATATGTCTCGTGATCCATCCATCCACGTGACCCCATGCAGTTATCCATGTGAGTAGATCCATCCATCATTCAATACATGTGGCTCCTTCTATCAAATCACCATTGTGGATCTACATCCCAAATAACTTAGTGCTGTTCAACCAACTTCTCCCAGACTTATTTGCTGCATTCTTTCAAAGTCATGTGATTTCTTACCTATAATATGAGCTCGTAACAGCTGAAATTTTGATTTGATGACTTATCTGTTATGTATTTAGGACCACTAGGTGTCTGAGGTGTATGTGAGAGGACATATTATTAGTATAACAACTGACCTGGCTTATATTTCTGTGTAGAAAAACCGCACGTGCTAAAACATCCAAAACGTTCAACAGCACTTGTGCAAAAATCTGGGATAGTTTCCTTCAGTTTGGAACAGTTGCTCAGTACGTCAACCGGGGTTACTATACAGTAATTCAGTATTATGAATGTATTTATTTATATATATATATATATATATATATATATATATATATATATATATATTTATTTATTTAGATTTATTTATATTTAATATAAAAGTGTGTATATATGTGTGTATAAATGTATATATACACACCACACACCAATATAATTTATAGAAAGAGAGTGAGAGTTTTTGGAATAATATATATTTTTTTTTCAAATGCAATAGCTTAAAGTAGCTATATATCTATTTATATTTATTATAATCATGCAGAACTTTGTGGCTTACATATGTTGCAGACGTCACAATACCGTTTATGACACACGTCACCACTGACATAAGTATAACACCAAGGCTGAAGGAGAGACCCGCCGGGATTTCTACAGCTACTTCCGCTTTCTAACAGGGAAATCCCGTTGATCCTATTAAGGAGGGAAACGCAATTAAACATGTGGAAATAGCACACAGTAAATTGTTTAACCAACAAAAAGTGCGTTATGTTTTACAATTTCTTCACTATTTAAACCATAACAATACAGACTCGAGGTTCCTCATCAGAATCACAAGGGAGGGGCGATGGGAGTTGGGGGGGGGGGGGGGGGGGAACACAGATTGTACACCAAAACAAATTATGACCAATTTTAATGAGAAAAACTGCTTTTTGCAGTAAATGTAATATCTTTTTAAAGTTAGGCAGAGGATGACATAAGCCGGATTATGGGTGGCACCAAATTCCAAAAGTTGTATCACGTCATATACAAAACGATTGGCGGAAGGGGTGACCCCCTGCGTCATCCCACACATAGAAGCCACTAAAGTACCGACAGAATGTTGTGTAAAGAGCTTATCATAGTCATCTAAAATACGTCGTGATCATCTTTAACTGATAAAAAGATATCAGCATCTTTATGGGGCTATACTGGATTAATGACAGTGCTGGCCTTAGATTAGAGAAATGGCTTCTTCTTCTTCTTCGTTCTTAATTTTTAGTGTTGGGAGGGATCGAGCCTTGTCTGGCAGAGGGTTTGAACTCGAGACTTTTTTTTAAATTTATCAACCATGAGCTTTTGCCGACTCGACCATGCTTCCATCACAATTAAGGATTACGTGTCAACTTGTTATGCGCCATTGAGGACATTGACTCCGATTTCAGCCTGCTTTTCTGTTTGGATTTGCTTCCATAGCCTTCGTCCAACCAAGAACAAACTACAAGGCAGCAGTTGTTTGATTTCGGAGTTGTCTCTCCTAGAAGAGCGGCTGTCCCCAGCTAACGTTCGAACTCGAAACTTTTCGGTTTAGCAACCATGAGCTTTACCGACTCGACCACGCTGATCCCTAAATGGCTTCTAAATTTAGAGTAACATTCATTAGCAGTGCAAGTTTCCCAAAAAAAAAATTATGTGTAAAGTAGAGAAATTTAGCAAAATTTTATATTCTGTCTCTGGATACTTTGTTTTAAAATGTTTGCTGTGAATCATATCCAATAAACATCATCATTTCCCGTTTGGGCCCAATACACATAGGGCGTATTAGGTGGAGTATATCTTTTTTTCACTGACCCTAGACTTCAAGTGAGATAGAGTGATCAGCACTATGCCCAACCGAATTTGTTTCCAAAATGTATGTCAGGTACCCATTGGAGCTGTGTGGACTATCCTTCAACTCGAACATGAGACATTTAAGTCAGTAGTTGTAAGCTCTACTATTTGACAACGCATTCCAATCGCAATTATTTTTTAAATTATGAAGTTTTGACTCGTAATCTGTTGTAAAACATCCGCCGTCTGACAATCATTCTATAAATATATTCAGTGGTAAAGCGTGGGTGAGTGCTGGCAAGGTGCCACTTTTGAAGAGTAGAACAATAGCAAATAATGTGATAAAGTTTATCATGTTTACAATCAATCTGAGGCTAGAGTAATGGTTATAGTTTAGTAAAGCATCTTCTCTTGAAATATAAGTTACTAATGTAAGTCAATCCAAATTTACCCATTAAAGGGGAAGTCATCACAAGATGTGGCTTTCTCCCAAGGGACGCAAGGCTCGAAAGTTTCTGTAACAGATTTCTCACCGTAGTAGTCTGCCCCTTTTGTCGCCACATCGTAACACATCTCTTTAGCTGGGAGAGAAATGGGAATATATATATATATATATATATATATATATATATATATATATATATATATATATATATATATATATATATTAAATTTCATTTACTGTAAAAAAATGTTATAACAAATTTAGAAATTTTAATCTGTTTTTTTAATTATATAAACAAATTATGCATAATAACATTTCTGAAAACAGAACTTTTAAAAAAATGTGTTTAGGACAAAAATATAAAAACTATGAATATATATTACAATTAAAATTAGTAAATGAGTTGATACATTTAATTATTCAAACTACACTAGCTATAATACTTTCACTAAACCGGCAACATATACTCCATCCCTTCCTTAGTTATAAATGATCTTCCATGATAATTCCCAGCACTACTTATCACAGAATTCCAGTTGAAAATAAAAAAAAAATTAAATGTAAATACGAGACGTATTCTTTTTTTCATTAACTTTACTTTTCCCCTGAGTCATACATCTTTACTTATTCTACTATAATAGCCACAGAAATTCATTATTATTTTGTCATTTATATTGCTATTATAGCTTTGTTATTATAAAAACATTTACTTTTAATCTTTTATTTTTAATATTATTTTTGTAATATATTATTTTATTAGTACATATTTTTATAAAGAATACACTTACGTGCTCGCATTACAAGATATTTGTGTTTTAGCATTATAAGTAGGTTGTATATATCGTATATTTCAAATTTACAAAATTACTGTTTTATTATATTCTAATTAAAATATGTATTATAATATATAGAAACAATTCATCATATTGTAAGCTAGAAACAATCGTATTCCCCTCACCTAGAACAACATCCACTGTAAAGTTAATTCCCTTGTTTGTGGTTGTCTCCCATGAAGCCCAGTATTGTACAGACAAGTAGTCTCCCTCACTCACCAGCTGATATGGTTTAAAGTCTTCGCTTATTCTGAAATAAAAACATTTATTTTTTCTTCCCACACGTTTTCAAGACTAAAACAGTGTTTTTTTTTCTCTCTGGTTGAGCGTTCAAGCGTTCATATTTTGGATACACTGACTTACGATGTTTGCTCAATACATGACTACAAACTAAAACAAAATTACAGGACCGGCTCCTACCATGACGTTACACAAACTAAGAGTACAGTGTCCTAACCTTGGCGTCAAATATATTAACAGGACCAGGACCTACTATGACGTCACAGAGACTTACCGTACGGACTCCTGCCACTTATGGAAACGCTTGATGAGAAAATCGTCCTTGACGTGTGGGTCAAACGTGTTCAAGGTCAACCTCAATCTGGAACCAGCAGGTACCTGTTCTCAGTGGGTACATAACGGTGATAATGTATACACATAGTGAGCACATAACGGTGATAATGTATACACTTAGTGGGTACATAACGGTGATAATTTATACACATAGTGAGTACATAACGGTGATAATTTATACACATAGTGGGTACATAACGGTGATAATTTATACACTTAGTGAGTACATAACGGTGATAATTTATACACTTAGTGGGTACATAACGGTGATAATTTATACACATAGTGAGTACATAACGGTGATAATGTATACACATAGTGAGTACATAACGGTGATAATTTATACACATAGTGAGCACATAACGGTGATAATTTATACACATAGTGGGTAGGCCTACATAACGGTGATAATTTATACACAGAGAGGGTACATAACGGTGATAATTTATACACATAGTGGGTAGGCCTACATAACGGTGATAATTTATACACATAGTGGGTAGGCCTACATAACGGTGATAATTTATACACATAGTGGGTAGGCCTACATAACGGTGATAATTTATACACAGAGAGGGTACATAACGGTGATAATTTATACACATAGTGAGTACAGAATATAATTTTTACAATAGTCAAAGGACGCGCTGTTAAAATTATCCTTTGCTATTTAAAAAAAAACTGATTTCGTAATGAATCAATATTACGTGTAGTGAGGGAAATTAGATTAGCCAGCACATGTTTGATTGGAAGAATTATGCCAGACATTTCGAAAACTTGAATATAACACTGGGCGTTCTACATTCAAAGCATTGAACTCATTTTATGTGATGCATTAGCCACAGTTCTAGTTTCAACGAAACAATGGACAAAATTTCAAAGTGAAATGACACATTTATAAAAGTGGAACCTCGAACCCAGTCGAATAACGGAAATTATAAAAAGCTACAATGAGTGCTGAACAAAGCCTTACACGGAAACTGTAAAAACACCGTCTGTCTGGCTCTCTCTTGGATTCGAACCCAGGTGTGGTGATGGTCACTGACCTTTTGGTGCTGTTTAGAGTGACGAATTGGCTGCAGCCTAGGTAGGAGACAATTAAATTAATGAACAAGTGTTATGGAACACCTACTGTACGTTTTTTTTTTTGTTGTATGTGTAATGAAGAATTAATTATATTTTACGCTATAAAGTAGGTTGATATGCTTACAGATAATGATGAATTAATTATATCTCACGTTATAAAGAATGTTGATACTTGTACAAATAATGTAGAAAATTATCTTACCGTAGATGGGGGGCTGGTAGTGGCACACGAAATGGTGAAAGAAATGGTGGTTGAAAAAACTGAGAGGATTTTTATCACCAGTCTTCAAAGAATGATGTGTGAAAAAAGTCAGCATTGAATAGGTGCTTTTCATTCCTGTGTGATAGAAGTGAATTAGGTAATCCGGCTATATAAGTCAAAAAGGAATTATGCTAAAGTATTGGAATAATTAAGGAATACAAAATAATTACGCTAAACTTATGGAATGGTTAGGGAATAGGCCTATAAGGAATTATGCTAAACTAATTGAATAATTAGGGAATACAAGGAATCAGTGGCGTAGCGAGGTCGGGTGTCACCCGGTGCGGCACTTAATAATATCACCCCTCAGAGGCGTAGCGACCCTTTCCGGGGAAAAACTTTCAATTTTCGAATTGCACTCCCCCCTTTCAAACTTTCGATTTGCACCCCAGCCCCTCAAACTTTCTGTTTGCACCCCTCCCCGTCAATCTTTTGATTTGCACCCCCCCCCCCCCTCAAACTTTCGATTTGCACCTCTTAAAACACTATTTAACATTCGAATTAATCACTTAATTAAGTGGAAGTATCATTTTTCTCTATAAATTTTACTGTTTTTTGCCTGGGTGTCACCCCCCCCCCCCCCATCGCTACGCCTCTGTAAGGAATTATGCTAAATTAATCAAAACGCGTGAGAATAAAAGGTATTTGGCTAAATTTCTTTAAAAAAGCGAGGGAATATAGATAATTAGGCTAATAGATTAGTTAGGGGATAAAAAAAACGGATAGATTATTCGAAAAAAGGGGCATACCAGAGATTAGAATAAGCTTATCGAAAAGGTGTAAGATTTTCCAAACGGAAACTACCAAACTCCGTTGACATGAAGTTTTATTTTAAGTACTTACCTTTAACAACGGGACATTCCCCAAACTGAGCCACCAGCCTAAAAGGTTCTGAGTTGGGCAGGTCTGTGATCAGGCCGTAATGTTCCCGATCCTTGCAGCAGTAGTTGATCCTGACGATGTTGCCGTTGATGGTGATGTTGCCGATGTCACCTACTGGATGACTTTCTTCTGTTGTCTCAAACTCGAGAGCCCCGTTAAGAAACACTGAAAAATATCAATACAATGTACGGGCCGACCCGCGATTAGCATACGCCGCTATTTAGTTGTTTTATTTTCTACTTTCAGTTATTCGTCATTTGTGAATTTGACACTACCAATGCTGCGACTGAAAATATTTGCTTTAAAACACTATCAGTAGGTCATATAGGACGATTATCCCCCCACTCACCCCCTCCCTCCCGGAAAGCAGCCTCCCCTTAGATACCTCCCCTTAGTTTCAAATCGTTTAAAAACTAAATTATCTGCCCTTGATTGCCGTTACTAATTCGACCCGGCTCTGCGATTGTAAACATTGGGCATGAACATCAGCTCACCAGAGGGGGCGGCTTGCTGCCTCGTGGTGTCTATGTAGAGAATTATATATATAGATGGTGTATGTTTCTCAACTGGCCTGTTGTATGCGACCTCACGTGAATGACATAAGGATTGACGACCATAAAAGAATAAAGTTGCTTGCCCGTGCCATACACTGTTTAAATATTGTGGCTCAATAACTTAGGGTTACTTGATCCGATTTAGTTTACAATACTGAATCTGTTAGGCTTTTCTGTGTCTAAAAGGGTTAAGGTTTTTGAGACTTAATTTTTTTAATTAAAAATAAATAAATTATGATTGCCTATGCTAAATCGTAGTTATTTTTCTGCGCTAAGTCAGTTGGGTTTGTCTGTGTAAACACTACTTTTACACACACACACACACACCTTTTAGATGGGTTTAGGGGACGAAATCATACCCCTAATTAAATGTAAAAATACCGTATTTTAACGTGTTGCATATCACGATTAAATAGTAAAACACACACTCGTATTCTAATACGAGAAAATAAATTGAAATAAGAAAGCATAAACAAATCCACCATTCCCACAACAAAACAAGTTACCTCCCCCACAGTCTTGTCCCCTAGGCTTGACAAAACATAATTCGCCTCCCCTTGGCCAAGAACTCCAGTTCACATCTGACTTCTTGACTGGCGTGGATTTTTTGCACAGGAGAATGGTTATAGTTGTGTCTTTTATTTTGTATGGTTCTGGCATAGGTTCCAGAGTCGTCGTGTGTCTTCCAGAGAGGGGTAGACTGGAAGGATTGGGTTCAAATCCAGTGGGGCAACGTTTTGTTCCGTACAGAATTATTTGGGTGTCAGGCCAGGAGATGTTCTTCGACGCTTAACAATAGAATATATATATATATATATATATATATATATATATATATATATATATATATATATATATATATATATATATATATATATATATATATATATATATATATATATATATATATATATATACTTACAAATATATTTAAGTATATCATGTAGAATATAAATCTAAATCACGAACTTCTAGAATTTCTCTAGAAATTGTTAGTTTTTAAATAAAGACACACTCACGTCCATCAATGTGTGTCCTATAATTGGTGTTGTAATCCAACTCATCCGGACAGACACAGCGACACCGTCCATTGATCAACGTGTGGTAGCCTGGGCCACAGTCCGTCTGGTCGTTGTTGCAGAAGAGTTCTGGGGGTGGGGAGGGGGGTAGATTAACGAATGAATTGTTATAATTTGTTGTTCCATATTTCTTAGTTACATGGTGTGTTATGGTTATCGGTTAGTCTTAGGCGTAACGGCGATGTTTGTTCAGGCCTATTTTACTAAATGGTGACACAACAAGATATCACTTGGACGAAACGTGTTGAAAAAAAGATCTCAAGAAAATATTTCATTGACCATCACGAACAAAAATAGAACTCACGGACCAAAATATTTTTAATTTATATTCTATCGCACAGACAAAATATATACACTAGAATGTATCTCACTGATAAAATATCTTTAGCTAGATTATATCTCCCGGACTAAATATATTTTACTAGATTATATCTCACAGAAAAATATATTTAACAAGATTATATCTCACGGACAGAATATATTCAATATTCTCAATAAAATATAACACAGCATATAATGTATCAGACAAACTATCAATAAAATTATGTGCTGAAAATACGCTTTCAATGTTACCTAAGTAAATGTGTTTTATAAACTTGTATGTTTAGCTCACCTGTATATATGACTCAACGTTACACCTGGATGTGTGACTCACCATTACACCTGTATATGTGACACCATTACACCTGTATATGTGACTCACCGTTACACCTGTATATTTTATTTAATTCGTTGAACAGCACGTGTTCTTCAGAGAAGCTCGGTGCCGTATGGAATAAATCATCTCTGATTGGCGTGTAGGTCTCCTGACCAGTAAGGTGCCAGGTCTGTTAGTCAAATAGGTGACAATAATTACAGGTGTCAAAAGTGGAACATGTCAATAGATACAGATAGCAAAGGTACATGTTTAAAACGTTACAGGCAAAAAGTGTTCAAAGTGTCATTAGTGAAAAAAAAAGTTTCCCTTTCAAACCTGACGGTCTGTGGGGCAACTTGTTTCTGTGACCTCGGCATATGAAGAGATAGTGTGGTCAGCACTATGCCCAGCCGCCTTTACTTTCCCTAACAGGAGTTAGGTACCCATCAGAGTTGGATGGACTCAGGGACGGTCTACTGACTTGAACTCGGATTCGAACTCGAGACTAACGGGTTAGCAGTCCAGCTCTCTACCGCTAGAACACTCCGTCCCATTAGTGACGGGTGTCAAAATGTATAGGTTTTCAAAAGTTACGGGTAGTAAAAGTTACAGAAGGTAAACGTTACTGGTGATAAAAGTTACATGTGACAAAAGTTACAGGTAACAAAATTTACAGGTGACAAAAGTTACAGGTGACAAAAGTTACGGGTGACACAATGTATAGGTGACAAAAGTTACAGGTGACAAAAGTTACAGGTGACAAAAGTTACGGGTGACAAAAGTTACAGGTGACAAAAGTTACAGGTGACAAAAGTTACAGGTGACAAAAGTTACGGGTGACAAAAGTTACGGGTGACAAAAGTTACAGGTGACAAAAGTTACAGGTGACAAAAGTTACAGGTGACAAAAGTTACATGTGATAAAAGTTACAGGTGACAAAAGTTACAGGTGACAAAAGTTACAGGTGACAAAAGTTACAGGTGACAAAAGTTACAGGTGTCAAAAGTTACAGGTGACACAATGTATAGGTGACAAAAGTTACAGGTGACAAAATTTACAGGTGGCTAAAGTTACAGGTGATCATGTTTTCGAACTCGTTTTCTTTGTTATTCTAATTCGCGTGCTTAGCGTCAGGTAAAATAATTTAAGAAAATTATAAGTAGATTATACATACTCAGAGTAATTTGAGAATGTATTAAATTTGTTAAGTTATGACAACAAAGCCGTCTTATTAATTATCCTTTTAAATTAAACTAGACGACCCAGTTTCCCTTCGGAAAAAGTTTAGACTAATTTCATGGGGTGTGCAGCTTAATGTGCCTTTATACATCCCAAAAAGATATTAATGTTATTAACGTCTTAAAAAGAAGGTGTCTATTATCTTATATTAAACACAACAATGTTTTTACGTTCGTATGTATTTTAACATTTTACACATATTACAGGAAACAAATACACAAACTTGTAAACAATAGAGAGTTTTAGTAGAATAAAGATAACTTGTTCTGTGTTCTTAAATTTTTGCACATATCAGAAATGTAAATAAATGACATGTTACCCTGTCTAGGTACATCATAGCGGAAAAAGGATCAAAGTATTCGGCCACTAGTGTCTCTCTGGTGTCTTTTATGTAAGTGCTAGCATATTCTGCAATGCGTATTAATAATAGAAAATTAAAATACTAATTGTAATTGTAATGGAAAGCATAATATAATAAAAACAGAAAATTTATTTTGTTTGCGGTTAAGATTGAAGTTACTGCGCTTGTTGCTACGATACCAAGATAAAAGTAAATGTCGCGTTATAGGCCAAAGTGTTGGTTATAGTTTCTCAAAAATCAAGTCCACCATCATAAGTTTAATTAAAAACACACTCCTTCTCTGATCAAACTTGAAACTTCCGTGGTAAGTTTGTTAAATTTTCAAAACCAAAAGTAAACAAGGACTCACCCGGCCTGACCAGAGAATGGTGGACGTCCAAGTAGCGATCTCTGATGGGTGATTGTTGGGTGTGGATGGCGCCAATAGCGTGAAACATTTCGTGCAAGTTAATGACCTGTTAGTGTATACAATAAAAGGTGGTTAATGGCCTACATATAGTATACAATAAAAGGAGGTTAGTGGCCTGCATATTGTATACAATAGAAGGTGGTTAGTGGCCTACATATTGTATACAATAAAAGGTGGTTAGTGGCCTACATATTGTATACAATAAAAGGTGGTTAGTGGCCTACATATTGTATACAATAAAAGGTGGTTGATGGCCTACATATTGTATACAATTAAAGGTGGTTGATGGCCTACATATTGTATACAATAAAAGGAGGTTAATGGCCTACATATTGTATACAATAAAAGGAGGTTAATGGCCTACATATTGTATACAATTAAAGGTGGTTGATGGCCTACATATTGTATACAATAAAAGGAGGTTAATGGCCTACATATTGTACCTTACTTTTGTTGGGGAGAGTAAAGGCAGCTGAGTCTAGCGCTGACCACACCATCTTTTCATATGACAAGGTCAAGAAACATGAACTCTTCTACATCTACCCAGAAAATCGCAAGAATCAAATAGGGACATCCACTCTTCTAGGAGAGTTAACTCCAAAATTAAACAACCGCTGTCTTGTAGTTTGTTCTTGGTTGGACAAAAGCTATGGAAACAAATCCAAAAAGAAAAGCAGGCTGAAATCGGAGTCAATGGCCTCGATGGGGCATAACCAGATGACACGTATACTGACTTAATTCTGCGGGAGGGGATACCTTCCAACACTAAAATTAAGAACGAAGAAGAAGAAAGAGGAGTCTTTTCTTTTATGTTTTATGGTGTCGTGTTGGTTTCGGGTCGTGCTGGGGGTTGGTGTTTGAGGTAATATGTTGTGTGTTTTAGTTCTGTCTACGAAAATGGTGTCAAGCTGGTTCCGAGGATGTGTAATGAGGGATGTGTTATTTCCCTTTCTATTGCTCTCTCCCCTTAACTCCTTTGCAGATTTTAGATTGTGAAATTAAATTTTATTATACAAAAATTAAAAATAAAGTTTAATTTTTTTGTGTGCCATTGTTCTGTCCTCATTACAGTGCATTTTCAATTTTCAAACTGCAGTAATGCATGGATATACAGAAAGTATCGACATAAGGTAGGGCGCATGAGTGTAAATGATTATCCATTAACCAACACGTAATCTAAACGTTAACAATTTATATCTGAAATGTAATCCCAAATTTAACACCAGTAGCCAATAGACATGAAATTAACTATGTGACAGTTGAACATACATGCTTGTCAGCCCTTGACAAAATAAGGTTTAACACACCTGCTAAACATACAATTAGCCAGAGTCGGCAGTTAAACTTACAAAACCATTACATGGGGTTACTTTTACAGGTGCTGGAACTGTTCCCTGTCCGATAGCTGATGCACACCTGGATACAAATGTTATGTTTACGATTAGGATTATTAAGAATAATGTTGGGACAAGGAATTTATTTAGTAAATATGGCTTAGGGGTACAGTTGTTTTGTGAACATGCATAGCCTTACTCGTTGGTCGTTTTAATGTTCATGTACGAGTTGGTTTCGAACCCGTTGCTGGTGAACCATTTGGGGTCTTTTCGGTCGAAGGTTTGGGTGACGTCACTGAAGGTGATGCACAATCGGCTGGAGATGTGATCCATCACCAGTCTCAATGTCATCTGGTCACCTTGATACAAGATCAATGCCTCCTTGTTTTACACGGATAGTTATACATCTGTCTGTATGTCTGTCTGTCAGTGTGTATGTCTGTGTGTCTGTATGCATGTCTGTCTGTCTGGTCTGTCAGTGTGTATGTCTGTGTGTCTGTATGCATGTCTGTCTGTCTGGTCTGTCTGTGTCTACGTGTGTCTGTCTGTATGTCTGTATATGTCTGTCTGTCTGTCCGTGTGTCTGTCTGTCTGTCCGTGTGTCTGTCTGTCTGTGTGTCTGTCCGTCTGGTCTGGTCTGGTCTGGTCTGTCTATCTCTCTGTCTGTGTCTGTCTGTCTGCCTGTCTGTCTGGTCTGGTCTATTTATCTGTCAATCTGTCAACGAAAAAAATAACTTACCAGTGTAAGAAGGGTCGATGACGTAAGGGATAACATGTGGCCACGTTCTAGAACTCTCGTTAAACGTGGCCCTCTTTTTCCGATGCCCGTGCTCTACCCACTCGACCATGTGTGGCCCATTAGATCTACTCTCAAAAAATTAGTTTGGGTCAAAGTTTAATATAACCATTATCAGTGAGGTCCATGGTTGATATAGCATGATAATGGTGTTAACGTTTGATATAAGCATGTCTGGCCCGACGATGAAAACGTCCAAAATATTTTTATATCACTCTATTCTTAGCCACTTTATTGACAAGGTAAACCAGTTTGTAAAACGTATTAAGTAATCTTATTCACAAAGCAACACCCCTCCCCCCGTTACTTCTTTATCCGACATTACCCATATCACCCGACCACATGATTCATATGTACATAACGTAAAGACCATCTCAGACACAGTATAGTTCGTCATACCGTCCATTTCATCCCGCCCCCTCTAACCTTACTTCCTCATACATATCTTTTAATACTTTCATCATACCACGCTCTATCAATTTCATTAAACACATCTTATTTATTTTAATCTTACCATCCTCCATTAGTTTCATCCAGTTTTACTTCTCAATTTTATCGTACATTCCCACCTTAGTTCATCATAATTTCGCTCTTTATTTACTCTAATCATTTACAAACGTGGCACTGTCATCTTTAATGACCTACAAACGTGACACTGTCACCAGTAATCACCTACAAACGTGGCACTGTCTCCTCTAATTACTTACAAATCTGACACTTTAATGACCTACAAATGTGACACTGTACCCGTTAATGACCTACACACGTGACACTATCATCTGTAATGACCTACAAACGTGACACTGTCACCTTTAATGACGTACAAACGTGACATTATCGCCTTTAATCACCTCCACATGTGACAGTGACACTGTCACCTATACAAACCTGCTAATTTGTCTCCTAACGACCGCGACATTGTTGTTTCCCCCAAGGGTACTCTGTAAATTGAAAGTTTTATTAAAATTAAAAATACATCTAATCCATGTGATACTGTGAGTTGGTGTGACAATCGCAAATACGGCTAGTTCATTTGTAAATTATAAGCTTCTTTCTAACCGTATTGTAAATAAAACTAGTTAACATAGAAATTAATGGACAAAAAATGCTAGAGATATTTCTTTAACTTGAATCTCAGTATATCAAAATAGCAAATTATTTTACAAGAATTATAAGAGCATGTTTGTCAGCTCATTTTAATTGACCTGAATCGACACGCCAGTAAATAGTAGACAGTGTTAACAACGTCAATTAAATCAGCTGTATAGTAGGAATACACGTATCAGTAAAACAGGTTCACATAGTAGCGTAGCCAGGATCGTCTCATGGCGGGGGGTGGGGTTCACATTTTTACCCGGGGACAAACTTTCGATTTTAACCCCCCCCCCCCCCCCCCTCAAACTTTCGATTTACACCCCCCCCCCCCTCATACTTTATATATATACCGAGGGGTCTATGGGGAGGTTATGACCCCCCACTAACCCCCCCCCCCCCTGACAATGGTCAGCCTGTTACATGCATCAGTAAAACAATATATATATATATATATATATATATATATATATATATATATATATATATATATATATATATATATATATGTGTGTGTGTGTGTGTGTGTGTGTGTGTGTGTGTGTTTGTGTGTTTGTGTGAAGTTAATCTCTATGTTGTCCAGATGAAGTAAATCCCCATGACAGACTTGCATAACATGTGGGATTGATCCATGCGGGTTATAAAAAATCATAATCAGCTTATCATCCTGCGTAAAATATCTTAGTTAATCTGATATAAATTAGTTTCAACACAGAGAGATTATGTTACCGTAATGTTTTTTTATTTAAAAAAAATTATGTTTAGAATTTAAGCTGGTCAATGCTGGTAAAATGATCCATTTCAGTTGAGTCTGAGACAGAGTGAGGTAAAAATATTACAGCAACAAAGTTAGCTGTACTTTACAGAATCTTTCACATTATGAAACAAAACAAATTTAACGTTATGTTACATACATATTATATCATTTAAGCTGGGGTTGTGCTTTGGAGGTTATACATATCGTACTTGTTTTTGAATATTTTATGCGGTCGGTCAACGAACAGGTTTTTAAAAAGAAAACGGCTTATCGAGTCATAGGGGAATAGGATAAACCTGATTATTTTATTATTTTGCTAGGTATGTATTGTTTAAAGAATGTAATGATATTTAAAGGCTTTAGAAAGTATTCTCAATAATACAGCCCCCACCCCATACTCATCTCTCACTTGACGAGTTCAATAGTCGAGTTTATGAAGATGTAAAAGTGCTGCAACGTATAAACATCTTAGGCATACACACACGTACACGTACACGCACACGCACACGCACACGTACACGTACACGTACACGTACACGTACACGTACACGTACACGTACACGTACACGTACACGTACACGTACACGTACACGTACACGTACACGTACACGTACACGTACACGTACACGTACACGTACACGTACACGTACACGTACACGTACACGCACACGTACACGTACACGTACACGTACAAGTACACGTACACGTACACGTACACGTACACGTACACGCACTACGTTATGCTCTCTCTTGATGAATCTTGCCCCTTGTGTCACTAGTTTCTACTATCACCATCCACTAAGTTTATTTTTCATTTGCGTTGTTTCTCCATCACCCCTCCCATCCTTGTTACAACCCAATACAGTGTAACTCGCAAAAAAGGAAATACTTACTTCATGTTCCCCAACAGTTAAAGTTGTTGAACCAAGTAAAATGATTGCAAAACAAATCATCTTCACAGCTGTCATCTGTAAACATTTATTCAGAGAGCACAGTAAACTTGTCAATATTGCCAACATAAATTGCGTAAAGTTACATGTTAGGTCTAATTAAATCATTTTAAATATCTATACACAAATAGCTCCATATTTTAATAGACGAGTGGATGATTGCGGCTTGATTGACAAAAGCAAAAACTGGACAGTGAGTTGCGAAAATCCATAATGACGTGACCAAAGACAGGACGTTACATCAAAAGTTTGTATGAGTTGCCGAGAGGAAGAGTCGGATATCCTATCGCCTAAGGGGCTTCACTCTTGTTTGATTTTAAGTTTTTCTTCAAAATGTGTTAATGTTTTCAAATGTGAAAACTCATCTGCCAGAGATTTCGGAACTCGGAATTTTTCGGGTTAGCAGCCATGATTTCTTCCTTCCGAACACGTCATTTTAGATATGAACTAATACTTTTACCACTTTACAAAACTAATTAACAGTGATACATCAAAAGAAATGTGTTGTATCGAGACAGTTCTAAATGTTTATAAAAAAAATGACTGGATGTCGTAAAACATCCATGCCAGAAGTTAATACTTTTGCACCATACAATTAGATGGTATCAAACACATACACGTCATCGAAGTATAGTCATCGTATGAATGAGATACAATGAGATATACAATAACAATATTGAGCAAAAAGTGTTGAGTCTGAGCCAAATATTGAAATAGTTACAAAAAATTTGCACTAGTCTGAGTATATCTTGCTAGAGGAGATCTGAGTCTACCACAAAACACGGCACCACGACTTACCTTGCACCGAGTTAGACGTGTTACCATTACATATTCATTTTACTATTTCACATTTGTACTACTACCGTGCTACCTCGCTAATTTGACGTGTGTTTATCACAGACTGGTGTTTTACAATTTCAAAAAAAAATAAGTTGTTAATAATAGTTGATATAATTTAGCATTTTAAATAATCTCAAAATGTATAAAATATATTTGAAATATCAATTCTAACATTTAGAAAATATCATAATTCATAAAAGATTAAACTGACAATAAATAGAGTATTAAACCGTTGGATGAATACATACATTAACTATACAAAGGCTAAAGTGATGTATTACTCATCTAAATATAGCGTGCTAACTGCACTTATTCTTGCACACAACTCCTGTTATGTGTGATTGACATAGTAAATACATCAGTACAAAAAATATAAACAGTTATTACCTCTGGGCAAGCATTAACTTCTGAAAACTTTGAAGATTTATTTTGTTGTATCAGTGCACAGAGTTGTAGAACAGCCAGCTAGTTGCTGCTCTATATATGGCTTTAATTGGTTACCGCCCCTTACTGTATGTTGTGCAGGTGGAATAAGATCCTCGCTTTTACAGTATCTGGGCAGAATTTGTGTTGTACCTCTAATCTCACATTTTATAATAGGGATTTGTAGGGCTAAATGGAGCTTAAGTCATTTGCTGAAGAAATGAACATTACACGTTCATTATTATGGTACAGTCGGATTTTGTCTGCAGTCCTCAGTCCATTTCTCTCAACCAGGGGCGGAACTACCATACCACCACACCTATAAATGCGGTGGGGGGAGGGAGGGGGAGCCAGGCCGCATGAAAGGCTAAAATCCGAAAAAAAAAAGATTTTTTTTTATGTTTTTCTTGCACGTTGTTGCTTAGAAAAATATTTTTAAAATCTACATGAGCTATAGTGTTAAAGATAGTCAAACGTTCATACTACTCCATCTCTATCACTTAATGCCTTTCATACTAAAGAATGGCATAGCTATATAAAGGAACAGAGGCGTAGCGATGGGGGGGGGGGGCAGGGGGGCATATGTCCCCGGACGCCGACATTAGGTGGCGCCAAAATGGGTTGTAAAAACAAATTAAAATGTCAATTTAGCTGCCATTTTTGCAGTTTAAGGGAGAGGGGTGCAAATCAAAAAGTTGAGGGGGGCGGGGTGCAAATTGAAAAGTTGAGGGAGGGGTACAAATTGAAAGTTTGCTCCCAAGTGAGCACCGAAATGGAGGTTTGTCACCGGGCGTCGGGAAGGGTCGCTACGCCTCTGTAAAGGAATGTCCGTTTTAACCATGTATAAAAAAAACACGTAGCCTAGAATTCAAATATTGACAGCGGAAAATTTTTAGTTTGTCCGCACCCTTAAACTCAATGAGGGAACCCCGCACCTCGACAGTTACTGAAGCAGAGTTGCTGACACTGAAATAGTGAGGGTTGGAGTAGGCGCCATCAACGTTATTCTGGTGGGCGATGAGAAGGAATAGTAGTCGCGTCTCAATCTTGCCCACTACTTGCATTCTTCTACTCTCCATCTTCCCACACCCAGCAGAGGCGTAGCTAGAATTTTTGGGCCCCTATGCAAAAAGTGTTAGTGAGCCCCTCAGAGGCGTAGCGACCCTTCCCGGCAACCGGGGACAAACTTTCGATTTGCACCCCCCCCCTCAGACTTTCGATTTGCACCCCCCCCCTCTTCAGACTTTCGATTTGCACCCCCCCCCCCTCAAACTTTCGATTAGCACCCACCTCAAACTTTCGATTTGCACCCCTCCCCTCAGACTATCGATTTGCATCCCCCCACCCCCTTGAGACTTTCTATTTGCCCCCCCTCTTCAATCTTTCGAAAAAGGGCCCCTATTTGCCTTGGGCCCCTATGCCTTGCTTACGCTAGCTTTACGGTAGCTACGCCACTGACACCCAGTTATATTATTCATGTACCCCCCCCCCCCCCCCACAACAACTACAACGGAAGACAGCCGGCCCTATTGAGTACGTGAGAAAAATGTAGCTGTTGTATTTTTTTTGTGTGCCCTACGTGATAAAACCATATGAAGAATAATTCACTTAAAAAAACCGTGGCTTGTTCACATGTAGCAAAATGTTATATCAAGGACAATTATTTAGAATACAAATTTCGAAAAATAGTTTAAGCAAACTTATATTTAAAATAAAAACGAAAACGCTTTGACATCATTGTTTATTCAAACACAGATATTTTATTTATAGTCTTTTTTGGACAATCTTCTAAAAAGTTTTTTTTTTATACTCACATTAAGAATTCAGAAAGAAGTGACGTTTAAAAAAAGGTTGCTCATGTGTAGCTTTCAGTAAGAAAAATTCACTATTAAAATATTTAAGATAAAGATCAAGATTCAAATATGTAAGAGAAACCAAAACATTTTAACTAGGCTCAAGCCTCACACCCAGTGAAGGTATCAAACACTTCTTTTCCTGGAACTTTGTAGTCGCCTGTAGCTCAGCCAGTGACGTCACTTCCTTGATGGGATTCAACAGTAGCTCGACCGTTGCATTGTAGCAATCGGTGATACTGAGTGTGTTTTCTTCTAGAGAAAAGGCGCCAAATACGTCATTCTGTTGATACATAGATATTATTTGAAAAGTCATTCTGTTATTACAGAGTTAGAAGTCGACACATCGTTCTATTTTATAGAAAAGTCTCCAAGCTGACTCGTGATTGTTGTTTCTTATATTTCAAATTTAAAATGCTATCTCGAGTAAATAATTATTGATAGAAAAATGAAGTACATTTTTTGAACGTTTTGAAAAGCCACTCCACTAACATGCTATTAAAGCCCTAAACAAAATTAAGAAAAAAACAACAAAAGAGACCGACCTGACGACAAGCAAGCAGGCAGACAGACAAGAACAGAAAAGAACATATTGACTAAAAAGAAAGACAGACAGATACACAGTGAAGACGATAGACCGACAACAGAGATAAACTTGCTCTATCATGAAACACGCCACACCATATTAGCAATGACTATTTATAGTATAAAGCACATATCTCAAGACAAACTGTTTTGACCTTTCAAAATTGACTCACCTTTTGGACCTGTATCTGACTCCCCACAGGAACGTTGAAGGTCCTGATCCATCTCGGCTCACACTTGAGACTGTTGTTGCCAACAAATTTGTAGTCTGACCTGGAGACGTAGGTCAAGGTTTTACATAGGCTCTAACAATCCATCTTGTGACCAATATATGGGCATGTTCATCTTATTGACTAAACATTGTACATATACCTGCATGTTGACCTTGATATACACATACAATATTACCCAGACCATAGCCAGAGTTTGACTTCTTTTGAACCAATTAGCTTCAATATATATAAAAAATGCATCAAATCAAGTCAAAATTGTTAGTTATATGAGATATTAACTGAAACAGAGTACTCGTGTAAGATGGAATTGCATGGTCGGGTGGTAGAGAGCCCGACTGCGACCTATTCAAATAAATGTGATAGTTGGTTTGAGACGAAATTAATGTTAGAATGAAAACATTATGCAACGATTGAATAAAAACGTTACCCTGATGGTCTGAAGACGATGAAGTCAATATTGCCTGCTTGTTGACAGTAGTAGTACCACTTCGTTATTTTACCGTTGAATGGGATTCTGTGGAGAAATGATAATGGACATGTAGAGTTGGTGGGGGTTGGTATAAATATAAGTAATTGAAGATGAGGTGAAAAAAACTCAAGTGAAACACCTTAAGAGAATATTTTACAGGTAAAGAGTTAGTGCACCTGTATTTGTCATCATCCAACAGAAAGGCTACTTCATTTGGTAAATCTTCCCGACGTTTTCTGATCTTTTCAAACTGTATGTCCACGGCAATTGGTGTACCTGTACAGGGAATGTTGTCTTTATTAGATTTATCCCATGTTCAAATGTGTAAACTAATGAAATAATATATGTATGTATATCTATATCTATATCTATATCTATATCTATATCTATATCTATATCTATATCTATATCTATATCTATATCTATATCTATATCTATATATATATATATATATATATATATATATATATATATATATATATATATATATATATATATATATATAAGATGTGTCTATTATCTTGATTACATTTGTACTTAGTGTGCCTATCAAAAGCCATACTCAATACCCCCATGTAACGTTTTACGCAGTGAGCTCTATCAAATATGCTATACATAGTTTTCATTACGAACGTTTTAAGAAATGAGCCTTATTAAATGCCATACTCAATTGACTTTAACATTTTATTTATAGCAAAAGTTCTTAGCGACTTCTTATCCACGTAGAACATTCTAATGTAGTTATTAGGGTCTTCATTAATGTCACTGTTTTACTATAACGTTGGTAACTCAAGAACTGGTTTACCCTTATTGCTGGATGCTACTACATATATTAAACCTTATCAGTTGTGTAAGGCATGATGTTTTCCAATTGCGTAGAGCCAAATCTACTCACTCTGACAAACAGGTTCTGACCCCAGCAGCGCACCGGAAACGGAACACGCTCTCTGCAGGTCACCGCTGACGTAATAGGAATCATTCTGACACTTAAAAGTCATGACCTGACCAGGGGAAATAACTTCTGCTTTAGACGTCCGGGAATATTTTTTTCCGACAGGATCTTTGCACTGGGTTTTTCCTAAATCAGGATAAAATTGTCACTTTAGGATTGCAGATTAGCGGGGTAGGACTTTACTGCCAGGGAAGTAGGGCGTTTCTACCCCCCCCCATCATATCTTCATACCATTAAACCCAGGTCAATAACCCTCTACTAATTTTTACCAGGTATAATGATCTGCAGTAATGTTGAATCGCTAAACCAGACATAGATTAAATACTTCAAGATTAGGGTTATTGTTTGTATTCTTTCTAGAAATATCGTTCACTGGTTTAGATAGATTGTAAACAATTTAAGCTGCAACGTACATCAAAAGGAACAGTTTTTATTGAAATGATTTTGTCGTTTTATATGAAATCCCCAATGAACACTAAAGCCATCTGAAGTTTAAGACTATATATAAACCAAAAAATAATGTCTGGTTTAAAAAAAAATATGTTAAATGCTACCTGAACATCCGCCACAAGTTTTTTTACAGTAGGTCAAGGCTGAATTAGAAGAACGTTTGGAAATGCAGAACTCTGGGAATTTGGCCAAAATATTTTGACAGTTTTGGATTTTATCGTCACACGCGGCGGCAGCTGAAACACACACAAGTCAAAACATTTATTTTAGTTGACGAATACTAAGTGTCAATTTGTTTGTACGTGCCATTATTTTTAGTAACATTATTTTAGGCAGGTTTTTAATGAGATAACTTTATTGATAAAAGGTATAAATTAATTGAACCAAGGTATATTGCAATAGCTTTCTTCTAAAGTACATCCAGAAGAGCTAATTTAATGAAGCAGAATTTTTATTTAATTTAAATATATTTTTTTAAATTTTTATTTTTAAAACTATGCTATCTAATTATTGTAATAAAACGAGTTGGGAACGTTTTCTATTCCCAATAAAATGAATTAATAAGTATGGAAATTATGATGTAGTACTTTAGTCTGATAAGTATCAAACGCAAATTCAGTGTTTCTTCCAGACTTTTTTCTCCGGGGGGGCACTTGAAATCTTCGGGGGGGGGGGGGGCGGTAAACTTTCTTCGGGGGGGCGGACACTGTTAAAAGTATATATTTTCTATATAAATTATATAAATTTCATTTCGTTCGGGGTGGGGGGGGGGGGGGCGGTAAAAAATGTTCGGGGGGGGGGGGGCTAAGCCCCCCCCGAAGAGATGCCTGGAAGAAACTCTGAACGCAAAATATTAGGATTTCAAAATCATACCGCTACAGTTTAGCGCCTGACCCGACCATCCAGTTTTGGTACATCTGATTATGTTGACAAAAGAACCGGAAGTTGTACAAGTCACGTTGATGACCTCCCCTTCCTTGTACACACTCTTTAATCCTCCAGCGGCGTACACATCAGATGGTAGGCTGGGTGGGCTGCACGTTGCTACGGGATAATAAAAAAAAATTATTTTATCTTCTTTTTTTTTCCTTTACTTTTTTTATAGCATCTCAGACGAACCCGAACATATATGAACTGGTCTCAATAGTGTGGATGTAACAATACACATACGTTTGCGTCAACTGACCTGGCTTATATTTCTGTGTAGAAAAACCACACGTGCTAAAACATCCTAAACGTTCAACTGCACTTGTGCAAAAATCTGGGACAGTTTCCTTCAGTTTGGAACAGTTGCTCAGTGCGTCAACCGGGGTTACTATACAGTAATTCAGTAGTATATATATATATATATTTATATATATATATATATATATATATATATATATATATATATATATATATATATATATATATATATATATATATATATATATATATATATATATATATATATAAAAGTAGGTATTGAGAGTTTAAACAATAATGCAGTTTATTTAATCTGATACATTGAGGTTACACAATAAATTAGTGTAGCGGTGTTTAACTTTAGAGCTTACGTAAGTTGCACACGTCACAGTAGCGTTTATGACAAGCTTCGCCATCAACAAATGTATAACACCAAGGCTGAATGAGAGATCCATTTGGATTTCTACAGCTACTTCCGCTTTCTAACAGGGAAATCCCGTTGATCCTATTATGAAGGAAAACGAATTAAAAACGTATGGCAAAGGTTACACATTAAAAATTCAATCATATAGAAGTGCTTGTAAGTCTTAAAAACTCTTTTCTATGGAAAATAACACAAAATCAGTCGAAGGTCCTTTATCACCATGACTAGGGTTTGGCAAAAGTTGCTGACACGATTCCATATAATTTTATTACATCGCATATATATATATATATATACTAGGCATTCTGCCTAGCTTCGCTTAGGTTTTCAAAAACATTTGATAATTTGAATGCTAATTATTTGGTGATGGATGAGGCGTGGAGTTCTTAAATCTAAACAGTAATGCTAATTTTAGAGAAGATGTTGTTGTATCTTGTTTAATATCCGCTTTTCCGCTTTCAGAGAAAGCATTCGAAAGTACGCAATTTATAACTAAAATGGAAATAAAACTACAGAGGTTCCATGAACAGTATATCTCACAATTTATATTACATTGACTTTTAAAATTAATTTTTTATTTAATTATCATACGTTGCTTAATCAACAACGTATTTTTTTCTAAAACAAATGCTACACTTTGTCGTTTTCTGTTTTTGTTTAAAATAGTATACAATTATTTGAAAAATAATTATTTAAAAAGTTTACCTCCCTTGAAAATTAACCGAATGACGTATGTCTGTGTTTACTTTTTTTTTAAACAGTTACTATGCTTATATAAGAAAATACGATATATAAACATATTTAACGTCTACAATGGCTTTTTCCGACGGGAATAAAGTTTTTTTGTTACCCTCCAGGGTCGGTCTACGACCTCAAATAATATTAAGGGGATCAATTTATTTATATATATATCTCATATAAGGAGAATTTCACTCGCGGTCATCTTTTAGCACTGGTCGAGGGCTTTGAGTCTGACCAACAGTTTTTCCATACGGCCTCGTCATCTATAGAAGTGTATGCAAAACATTAGCATGATGTACAGAGGTTAAGTAACGTAACAATTGTGTTGAAATTACCCTGTTTTTCCCATAAAATACAAAGATTATATAGGGAAATACGACTGGTCAGTTTTGACCCCTTTACGAAGTTTTCCCAGATATGCCGAGTTTTTTGTGACACCCCAAGGCGTTCTCCTACCACCTCACAAAATATCAAGGGGGGGTCGTCGGAGGAAATTTTTTTTCGTAATATAGCTCATATAAAGAGAATTTCACTCGCGGTCAAATTTTAGCCCTCGTCGAGGGCTTTGAGTCAAACCGACAGTTTTCCCAAAAGGTCAAGCCATTTACCTAAACGTATCCCAAAAATTAGCCAGATATACTGAGTTTAAGTACCCTAAAGTCTGCGTTGAAATGACCCTCTGTTTTTCCCATAAAATACAAAGATTATATAGGGAAATACGACTGGTCAGTTTTGACCCCTTTACGAAGTTTTCCCAGATATGCCGAGTTTTTTGTGACACCCCAAGGCGTTCTCCTACCACCTCACAAAATATCAAGGGGGGTCGTCGGAGGAAATTTTTTTTCGTAATATAGCTCATATAAAGAGAATTTCACTCGCGGTCACATTTTAGCCCTCGTCGAGGGCTTTGAGTCTAACCGACAGTTTTCCCTAAAGGTCAAGCCATTGACCTAGGAGCATGCAAAAAATTAGCCAGATATACTGAGCTTAAGTACCCTAAAGTCTGCGTTGAAATGACCCTCTGTTTTTCCCATAAAATACAAAGATTATATAGGGAAATACAACTGGTCAGTTTTGACCGCTTTACGAAGTTTTCCCAGATATGCCGAGTTTTTTGTGACACCCCTGCGTGTTCTTCTACCACCTCACAAAATATCAAGGGGGGTCGTCGGAGGAAATTTTTTTTCGTAATAGAGCTCATATAAAGAGAATTTCACTCGCGGTCACTTTTTAGCCCTCGTCGAGGGCTTTGAGTGTAACCGACAGTTTTTCCTAAAGGTCAAGCCATTGACCTAGGAGCATGCAAAAAATTAGCCAGATATACTGAGCTTAAGTACCCTAAAGTCTGCGTTGAAATGACCCTCTGTTTTTCCCATAAAATACAAAGATTATATAGGGAAATACGACTGGTCAGTTTTGACCGCTTTACGAAGTTTTCCCAGATATGGCGAGTTTTTTGTGACACCCCAAGGCGTTCTGCTACCACCTCACAAAATATCAAGGGGGGTCGTCGGAGGAAATTTTTTTCGTAATAGAGCTCATATAAAGAGAATTTCACTCGCGGTCACTTTTTAGCCCTCGTCGAGGGCTTTGAGTAAGACCGACAGGTCTGCCCTACGGTCAAGCCATTTACCTATAAACATGCCAAAAATTAGCCAGATGTAAAGAGGGTAAGTGCCATAAAATCCGTTTTGAAATGACCCTCTGCTTTTCCCATAAAATACAAAGATTATATAGGGAAATACGACTGGTCAGTTTTGACCCAGTTCCCGATTTTTCCCGGACATGGCGAGTTTTTTCTGACACCCCAAGGCGTTCTGCTACCACTTCACAAAATATCAAGGGGGGTCGTCGTCGGAAATTTATTTTCGTAATAGAGCTCATATAAAGAGAATTTCACTCGTGGTCACTTTTTGGCCCTCGTCGAGGGCTTTGAGTGAGACCGACAGGTCTGCCCTACGGTCAAGCCATTTACCTATAAACATGCCAAAAATTAGCCAGATGTAAAGAGGGTAAGTGCCCTAAAATCCGTTTTGAAATGACCCTCTGTTTTTCCCATAAAATACAAAGATTATATAGGGAAATACGACTGGTCAGTTTTGACCCAGTTCCCGATTTTTCCCGGACATGGCGAGTTTTTTGTGACACCCCAAGGCGTTCTGCTACCACCTCACGAAATATCAAGGGGGGTCGTCGGAGGAAATTTTTTTTCGTAATAGAGCTCATATAAAGAGAATTTCACTCGCGGTCACTTTTTAGCCCTCGTCGAGGGCTTTGAGTAAGACCGACAGGTCTGCCCTACGGTCAAGCCATTTACCTATAAACATGCCAAAAATTAGCCAGATGTAAAGAGGGTAAGTGCCCTAAAATCCGTTTTGAAATGACCCTCTGTTTTTCCCATAAAATACAAAGATTATATAGGGAAATACGACTGGTCAGTTTTGACCCAGTTCCCGATTTTTCCCGGACATGGCGAGTTTTTTGTGACACCCCAAGGCGTTCTGCTACCACCTCACGAAATATCAAGGGGGGTCGTTGGAGGAAATTTTTTTTCGTAATAGAGCTCATATAAAGAGAATTTCACTCGCGGTCACTTTTTAGCCCTCGTCGAGGGCTTTGAGTAAGACCGACAGGTCTGCCCTACGGTCAAGCCATTTACCTATAAACATGCCAAAAATTAGCCAGATGTAAAGAGGGTAAGTGCCCTAAAATCCGTTTTGAAATGACCCTCTGTTTTTCCCATAAAATACAAAGATTATATAGGGAAATACGACTGGTCAGTTTTGACCCAGTTCCCGATTTTTCCCGGACATGGCGAGTTTTTTGTGACACCCCAAGGCGTTCTGCTACCACCTCACAAAATTTCAAGGGGGGTCGTCGGAGGAAATTTTTTTTCGTAATATAGCCCATATAAGGCGCCGGTCAGTCGAGGTCAGTTTTGACCCCCTCTCGGTAGACTTTTCGGCCAACTGTCACCGGCCCTCGTGTTCTATCGCCCCAAGGCACCATCGTGCCAAATTTGACGCGCCTGCGGCGCCGGGAAGTGCCCTATCGGGCACCTGACCACTTTGCTTTATATATATACTAGGCATACTGCCTAGCTTCGCTTAGGTTGCCAAAAACATTTGATAATTTGAATACTAATTATTTATTGATTGATGAGGTGTGGAATGTTAAATTTAAACAGTAATGCTAATTTGAGAGAAGATGTTGTTGTATGTTGTTTACGATCCGCTTTCAGAGAAAATAACTGAAAGTACGCAATTTATGACTAAAATGAAATTAGAACTACAGAGGTTCCACGATCAGTATATCTCATAATTTATATTACGTTAACTTATAAAATTAATTTTTTTTATTTAATTATGATAGGTAGCTTAATTAAGAAATTAATGTTTTACTAAAACAAATGCTATACTTTGTCATTTTCTGTTTCTGTTTAAAATAGTATACAATTAATTGTAAAATAATTATTTAAAAAGGTTACCTCCCTTGAAAATGGCCCGAATGACGTCTGTCATTGTTTACTTTTTTTTTAACAAACAGATGCAATGCTTATAGTAGAAAATACAATATATGAACATATTTAACGACTACAATGGCTTTTCCCGACTGGAATAAAGTTTTTTTGTTACCCTCCAGGGTCGGTCTACGACCTCAAATAATATTAAGTGGATCGTTCGTCAATTTATTTATATACATCTCATATAAGAAGAATGTCACTCGCGGTCATCTTTTAGCCCTCGTCGAGGGTTTTGAGTGTGCCCAACAGTTTTTTTCATACGGCCTAGTCATCTATAGAAATGTATGCAAAACATTAGCATGATGTACAGAGGTTAAGTAACCTAAAAATTGTGTTGAAATTACACTGTTTTTCCCATAAAATACAAAGATTATATAGGGAAATACGACTGGTCAGTTTTGACCCATTTAACGAATTTTCCCGGACATGGCGAGTTTTTTATGACACCCCGAGGCGTTCTCCTACCACCTCACAAAATTTCAAGGGGGGTCGTCGGAGGAAATTTTTTTTCGTAATAGAGCTCATATAAAGAGAATTTCACTCGCGGTCACTTTTTAGCCCTCGTCGAGTGCTTTGAGTGAAACTGACCGTTTTCCCTAAAGGTCAAGCCATTTACCTAAGAGCATGCAAAACATTAGCCAGATGTAAAGACGGCAAGTACCCTAAAATCCGTTTTGAAATCACCCTCTGTTTTTCCCAAAAAATACAAAGATTATATAGGGAAATACGACTGGTCAGTTTTGACCCATTTAACGAATTTTCCCGGACATGGCGAGTTTTTTGTAACACCCCAAGGCGTTCTCCTACCACCTCACAA